CAAGGTGCACAGGGGCAGGAGGGGCAGGCTTAGCTGGCTTCTCCTTAGGTGATCCACTTCAGGAGGGGCCCTGTGGCAGCAGGAGGGAGTCAGATCCGCTGCCAGAGGTTTGGCTCCGCAGAAGCGCAGAGTTGGGTGTTTGCGTGGAGCAAGCATGTTCCCTGGGAGGAACTGGTTCTCTTTGGGATTTTGGCTGGGGGATGGGCGGGGGAGATGGCGCTGGCGAGCGCCTTTGTTCCCCACCAAACTGAGGTCTGTCGTCAGTGGGCTCAGCAGCTCTCCTTCCATTTGTTCTCCAGCCTTCCCGCTTTCTGAGCAGAGCTGTTAACTTATGACCTCCCAGCCGCTAAGTCGCGCTTGCTGTCGGAACACAGTCTGTCAGGCCCCTCCGCTTTTTGCAAGCCAGACTCGGGGGCTCTGTTTGGCCGCCGAGCCGCCCCTCCGCCCAGGCTCCCTCCCGCCAGTCCATGGAGCGCGCACCGCCTTGCAGCCCTTCCTACCCTCTTCAGTGGGCCTCTCGTCTGCGCTTGGCTCAGGCGACTCAGTTCTGCTAATACTCTGGCGGTTTTCTGGGTTATTTAGGCAGGTGTAGGTGGAATCTAAGTGATCAGCAGGACGCGCGGTGAGCCCAGTGTCCTCCTACGCTGCCATGTTCCCTCAGAAGCCGAATATCGTTTTTTTCTTAATGAATATCTTAACTACTTAAATATTTATTCAGATTTTCTATATCTTCATTTGTTAGCTCAGTAGTTTTTATGTTCCTAGGTATTTGTTCATTCATTTAATTTGTCTAATTTTTCGCATATCATTGTCCATAGTATTTTCTTATTTTTTTTATGGTTGGTAATAATGTCTTCTCTTTCATTCCTGATTTTGATAAGTTGAATCTCATCTGTTTTTTTATGATCAGTCTAGCTCAAGATCTGTCAATTTTGTTGATTTTTTAAAGGCAACTTATAGTTTTGCTGATTTTTTCCATTATTTCTCTTTTCTTCATTTTATTTTGAGTTTATTTATTTTGAGAGAGAGAGAGCACGTGTGCTAGCAGGAGAGGGAGAGGGAGCCCGATGATGGGCATGAATTCATGAACCATGAAATCATGACTTGAGCCAAAATCGAGTCGGATACTTAACCAATTGAGCCACCCAGGCACCCCTTCTTTATTTTATTTATTAGCTCCACTGTAATATTTATTAATTTTATCTTGCTTGCTCTGCATTTAGTTTGTTCTTCTTTTAATAGTTTCTTTATGTGAGATGATAGGTTTTTGATTTGATATCAATTTTCTTTTTTAATATAGGCATTTTCAGCTATAAATTTGCCTCTGACCATTGCTTTAGCTTTATTCCAAAAGATTGTTGTGTAGCTTTGTTTTCATTTCTCAAGGTGTTTTCTTATTTCCCTTGTGATTTCCTCTTGGACCCATTTGTTATTTGGACAGTGTTGTTTAATTTCCTCATATTTGTGCAGTTGTTCAAGTTCTCTTTTATTAATGATTTCTAATATCATTTCAGTGTGATTGGACACTGTGCTTTTATAATTTCAATAAATTTAATTTTATTGAATATATTTTTATGGTCCTTCATATAATATATCATTAATAATGTTTCATGTCTGTCTGGAAATATTTTGTATTATATTTGTTTGTTTTAAATATTCTATACATTAAGTCTAGCTTGAATATAGTGCTAATCAAAGCTTCAATTTTCTTATAAATCTCTGATTAGTTATTGTATCCTATTATTGCAAGCGAGATATATAATTCTCTAACTCCTGCTGGTGAATTGTCTATTTCTATTTTCAGTGTGTCTGTTTTTGCTTCATGCAATCTGAGACTATGTTGTTATTCACACCTATGCTTACAATTGTTATATCTTTCTGAGGAACTCATTTCCCTTATCATTACAGTATGTCTTTTACTATATATAATAATTTTGGGGGTGCCCGGGTGACTCAGTCAATTAAGCACCTGACTCTTCATTTGTCTCAGGTCATGATCTTGTGGTTCCTGAGTTTTAGCCCCGTGTTGGACTCTGCGCTGGGAGTGCAGAGCATGCTTTAGATTCTCTGTCTCCTGTCTCCCTCTTTGCCCCTCCTCTGCTCATGCTCAATCTCTCTCTCTCTCTGTCTCTCAAAAATACATAAATAGACATTTAAAAACTAATTTTTGTGTTAAAGCTTATTTTATATTATTAGTATAGCCACTCCAGCTTTCTTTTTGTTACTGTTTGCATGGTATAACTTTTCCCAACCTTTGACTTTCAACAATAAATCTAAACTGTGTCTTATAAACAGCCTATAGTTGTATGCTGTTTTTATTTTTTTATGGTTGTGTGGTGTTTTAAAAATCCATTCTGCCATTCTCACTTTTATATTGGTGTGTTAAATTCATTAAAATTTCATGTAATTACTGACAGTGTTGGCTTTATATCTGTCATTCTATTATTTATATTCTATATGTTTTATTTCTTTTTTGTTCTATTTTTCTGTTGCTGACTTCTTTTTGATTAAACAGGTATTTTGTAGTGTACCATTCTATTTTTTAATTAATTGATTTTTATTTAGTTATTTATTTATTTAGCCAAACAAAAGATAGCATATTTATTTGGAAAACAATCATTTCACAATTATCTCCCAAACTCAGTATCTGTGGGCCAAGGTACAAATGAGTGAGGTCATCATTAATTTTTCAATAATTAATAAAAATTTAAAGTAACTGATTTTGTGCAGTAGTGTTTTTAAAACCACATTTTTGTGATAAGAATCACTTGGGAGTGCTGGAGATTAATTCTACTAATTAATAGAGTGGGCCTGGAATAAGCCAGTGAATACAGACATTTTTATTTTTACAAATATTCCAGATGATTATTATGATTAAGGAAATTTAGGAAACGTGATTTTCAATTTCCTTTGCAGATTTTAAGTTTTCAATTAAGTTTTGAGTTATTTTCTTAGTGGTTGCCCTGGTTGAATTCTTAGCTTGAAACAATCTAGTTTGCATTGAATTAATTTTATTTTGACATTTTATTTAAAAACTTTGCTCAAATACACCTCCATTCCCCCATCCTTCCTTTTATGCTATTATTATCATACACATTAAGCTTTTAAATAGACTATTAACACATCTTGTTGCTTATTATTTAATGGTAATGTCTTTTTAAAAACATAGAAGAATAAAGTTACAAATGAAATTTATTTTATACTATTTCTATTGATCTATGTAGTTACCTTTATCAGTGCCCTTTATTTTTTCATACAGGTTTGAGTTTCTGTCCAGTGTCCTGTCTTTCCTGCCTGAAAGATTATCTTTAGCAATTCTCATAGATCTTCTAGTAACATTTTTCTGTGTTCTGGTATATCTTGAAATGGCTTAATTTCTGCTTTATTTTAAAATATTCGAGACTATAAATTTCCTGCTAAGCACTGTTTTACCTACATCTTGTATGTTTTGGTATTTGTGTTTTCTATCTCATGCATTTCAAAGTATTTTCTAATTTCCTTTGTGATTTCTTATTAGGACAATTGGTTATTGAGAAGTGTGTTGTTTAATTTCCACATATTTGTGAATTCCCCAAATATCTTTTCCTATATATTTCTAATTTAATGGCATCATGTTCAGGGCCATATTCGATATGCTTCCAACCCTTTTAAACTAAACTGGTTTAAACATTATTTTTTCCAGTATTTCTTGTAAGATAGGTCTCTAACTATAATTCTTTTTTTGTTTGTTTGTTTGCTTATCTGGGAATGTTTAAATTTTTTCTCGATGTTTTGAAGGATAGTTTTGTGGGATATAGTTTTTCACTGCCAGTTTTTTCCTTTTCCTTTAAGTTCATTAAATATGTCATACTACTTTCTTTTGGCCTCCAAATTTTCTGAACAGAAATCAGCTATTAAATATTTGAGAATTATTTGTATGTGATTAGTAATTTTTCTCTTGCTGCTTTCTTTTCTCTTTCTGTCATTTGGCAGTTTGACTATTACATACATAGGTGTGGATCTCTTTGTCCAACTTAGACTTTGTTGAATAATAAATTATTATTAAATAATAATAAATAATAATAAATTTTAATAAATTTTGAGAAGATTTGGTAATTATTTCTTCAAAAAATATTTGCTCTTTC